TGACTGAATATTTCTTATGAAGATATTGGTGGTCTTCTTTGTATGGGGTAATTTGCTTTTGTTCAAGAGAAGCATGTTTAAGCAGGAAACGTCGGGCAGCTTTTTATGTCCTACGAAATTTTCATTTCTTTTTATCTATATCGTATCACCAATCATTAATGCATAAAAAACTCAGATGAAAAAAATAGTTTTTAATAATACAGGTAAAAAATTAGACAGAATAAAATAAATGACCTTTAAAACCGTTTGTAGCAAAACATTTGCGCTATTTAAGAAATACTTTATTCAACTTAAAACATTTTAAGAAGAAAAAATACCGTCATCGTATCTTAATGAAAACCAATTTGTCTGTTGTACCATACTTCACACCTGTTCGCAAGTATGATTTGAAATATTTCTCTTTATAAAAAGAAAATTTGTATGGTATTTTTCCAACAGAATAACATTTGTCAAAGTGAACAGTTGTCATTTTGTCTTTGTTATCGGTTTCTAAAGTGATCTGTTTTATCTTCATAAAGTTGGTGAAATGAGGTATTAACTGATAAACTATTACTTCCTTTGATAAAAAAACTAATTTCAAATCTTGCAACGTGGTACAAAGGAGTGATAAAGTCTTCGCTCTTAATTGATTTGCAAATATCATGTAATAAATCATTCATTTAAAAATAATGCAGGTTCATCGTTTTTATATATTTTAAAGTTATGTCATAGTTAAATATGTCGATATATCTTGCTAAATTTGTAATAAACTTATAAAATTGTCCCTTTAAACAAAATTACTCACAACAAGCTGATGGTAATGGAAACAAATACTTATGTAAACTTGTTTTAGCTAAATTGCTTATACGTGGCAAAAACAATTTTGCTAGCATTTCTTGGGTATAAAAAAGTATCGTCTTAGTTTGAGAAAGTTATTGACAATAATTTTTCTAGATACAACGATTAACTTAGATATTACGGAAAAGAATGATATTGTACAGTACAACATTTTCTTTTCATCATCCATCTTAACATTAAAGAATTGTGTTTCTAATCGTACAAGTCTAACAGATGGTGTTATTTTATTGCAATTAACTCTATCAATAAAGTAAGATAACCATAAAAAGTTGAATTCCTCAGCCCGGACATAAGTACAGAAATTCATAACGGCCGCCAGTATGTGCACCAAACAAAAAAAGAAAGAAAGAAACATAAAGTATGTTTCTTAATCTTTAACTTTATATAACTTTTTTACCACACAATTTCAAAAACAATATGACAAATTTAAAGTTTATATAGCAATCAAGAACAATATACTTTTATATGGCAAACTTTATAATTACACTTGTTCACCGATATGGTGGTAAAATCATATATGTGGACATTCTGAAGACTTTCGTTTTAACAGCAAAATATTTAAGTTTAGTTAAGATGATGCGGTTATCAATTTAACGTATGTTGACAGAAAAAAATATAATAAAACCTTCACTGCAATATTATCAAGTTTGCCGTTTTGGACTTTCTTTAGGGATTCTTTATTTCTTTATGTTTGAGCGAATTCTTGTCAAACGATATTGTTGAATCATCAGAGACTTTAAATGTGAAGCAGGTTGTTCGTTTCAGTATTCTTGAAAATATTGCGGTGCGGGTCAAGTATGTCTAAAATAAATTACACGTTTCCATTTCTATTGAACATTGATTAAACAAAGTGTTTACTTGAACATTAAATGCACCCCTAGGCCCGCGATATTTATCTGACACTTTATATTCGAACCCTTGGTAGTTGTAAATCGCAAAAATCGGAAATTACATGCTTTCACGGTGTCAACACTTAAGTGTTTCCATACAAAGCGGTTTAAAAGCACTTAACATCGAGTTTGTTTTTCTTTTTTGTCGCATTTATATTCAAAATTATAAGTTTAATTGTTTATTGAAGGATTTTTATGTGATTCAAAATGTTTGTATGACAAAATGAATGACGCTATTTCAATTTTTATCACACTTTTAGAAAAAATAATTTAACTAAGTCCATTCATGCAGTTTTATTATTGGATCGCACAAGTTCAAATCCGAGTCAACTGCAACATTTGTCGTAACTTTACGATAGGTGTTCCCCATTCGTAATTTTAATGTTTTCCCTCAAGGGTAAAATATCACGTATCTTTCATATAAAAGAACAAGAACAATAAAAAACGGAAGTTTTAGCATTTATAATGTTGAAAATAATACAAATTAAATTAGACTTATATGTGACGTAATGATGTGATAACGTAATAATTCAGAGCGCTATAAATAGTTTATATGGCTTAAGTGAGGTGAGCTATGTCTTTGGCAGCCTAGAAATTTAGGTTTAATACCATGCCGTGGGTTCAATTTTACTCCCAGCATGGACGGCACCCAATTTATTTATAAATACCTTGACAATTATGTAGTTGACTTTGTAGAATCCATATAACAATTTTTAATTGAGGTAGAAAGTGTATCGATTTGAATTTTTTTGTTCTTCTTATTGTAATTTTGAGAAAAATTTGATTTTGTTTAGTATGGATCTGTATTTCAAGCTCTTTATTAATTTACTTGATTTTATAGCCGGAAAAAGATAAGTGCATGCGCATCAATATCAAATGCACGTTGCTACGGACGTTTGTTACCGTAACATTTATCTTAAGATTATTTTTTGTCTTGAGATTAAATTTTAACTAACGAGTTGCTTTGTGAATGATTTAAGATTTGACTTATGATTACCTTAGATCAAATACTTAAGACAAATCGTGAAATATTTTGTGAAAATGTCTGCTGGATTCCAAGGACACAAAAGATTGATAACAATATATGGAAAATATCTGTCACAGGTTTGATGGTTTCCCAGAAATGTCGTTATTGAGCAAAATGTTAGCCGTGTTCATTTTTTTATTAACTTGAAATGATTTAAATTATCATTCGCTTACGTTGCGAGTATTTGTCGAATATCATTGATTAAATTAGAATGATATATTATAGTTTCGTCGACAAATGCCAGATACATATCTTAAATATTTGACAATCTAAAACTTTGAAAATATTTACATAAAACTGATTTTATAAAACGAATAAGCAACCTGGATAAGATATTTGAAAACTGCCAAAGGATGTGGTGATCAATATAAAAATTTAAAGAACAATTTATTTTTTTATAAATGACTTTGAAAGTTAATTGACGTACTCGTAAACAAAAAACAAGAAATAGTAAAATCAGTATATTTTCTCACATTATTTTCTCGAGGTAAATAAAAAATTTCCAATTTATTACTTAATATAATACTAAAATGTACTGGCAAGTCAAGTCGACATATGATAAATGAGAATAAAAATATTTTTTAATCTCTTATATCTAAGCCAATATTGACTAAATAAACGATTATTAAAACTTGCAAAAGATGCACTCTTACTGTCACTGTCACAAACTGAGCTGTATCCTAAAGTATTATGGATAGCAGTTGACTGCACTGCAATCAATCTATATTACGATTGTAATTATTTACAAAAGTTATGACAATTTAATATGCAACAGTCAACCGACTTGAATAAAACAGCATGGATATTATTCTTGGGTAATACTTTTTAAATCAAATTTATTTACTTAAAGCTTTTGATTTAGCCCATTAATTACCTTGCCTTTAAATAAGATTATTATCTAGCACTAATTTTTTGTTAACTTGTCGATATGTCAATTTTATCAGACCCCCTACTGAAAGATACAAGGTACAATAAATGGCTTTGATTATCAGATTACTATCCAGTAAGCAAAGCGGTTGCTTGAAGTTGTGGGAATGAGTGTGACACTCTGTTATCTGAATTCAAACAAATTAGTTAAATGGTAAACTTTTATTTCAGAAACAAGCAAGCGACCCACAATATAAGCTAGAATGTTGATTCATGATTTCAAAGAAATATATGACCAAATTATGGAATGTAATATAACTGATTTCATTTAATGAACTCCTTAAAACATAAGACAAATACTTATCAAACGTGATATTTTTTAATACTTGCTATATTCTATTAATCAAAATACACGTGAAAATATGATCAAACATGTAATAAATATAGATAATGATGACAATTCTTTTTCAAAAAAGCGACATTGCGTTTCTTTGAGGGAGACCATCGCATTGCAATGAATAGGTGTTTTTATTGATTTCGAACAAAATCTTATTAATCTATCAAACTGTCTCATCTAAAAAAAAACTTGCACTGTACAAAAGATCATATGCAAAATAAAAAAAATAAGAGAAATAAAAAGTAAAGTGGTTTATAATATTTCGGTCATTTGTAAACAATTTTTTTATATAGTAAACAATGAGTGTATAAAGCTATATGTCTGCTGCTCACTGTTTACAAATATTTTGTTTGAATTTGGAAAAAGAAATTTCTAAAATACATGACAGAAAAAATGTTTGTATATTTTCAATGAGTGATAGACACGTGATGAAAACGTTTGTTTAAGGGTTAAAGTTCTACCTTAAGTTAAATAGTAGCATTAAATTTTGTTCTGTACAGTATGACGGTGTGTTACATAACAGAAACATTCCCTGTTACAACTCTTCCAATTATCGACCATACAATTTTGAAAGCAATCTAATTTTACCATTTTGAAAATGCATTAAATAAATACATTAGATATAGCTTAACTGTTTAATTTCAAAGAAAACATAGCATTAATTAAAAACTAAAACATAGCAAATAATGAATAAAAATATGTTTTACTCAAATTGTAAAATACGATAAAGCGTCCACATACAGTTTTACATCAAGCTTGATACTTGTTTTCTCTTTAAACTTAAATTGCAATTCATTTTATTTTATTTATTATATCAAGTGAGTTCTTTCATTCTATGTATCGATACTATTGCAAGAAGAAATGAAATCATATACCCGTTTACTGATTTTGTATCTGTGATTTCAGTTTGTTATCAGGTGTCAAGGTCGGTCGCCCACTTAAATTGTATTTGATAAACAATGCCCTATCTGCATAGGGGATCTTTTATGAAGCAAACTCCTTCACATTTTAGTTATATAGTTATTACAGGATTTGACATGCTTTAACAATAATGATTGGTTAGAATCCTTTTTGTTTATCCTTGTTACCTTGTGAGAGCATTGGATTCAATATAAAAAGCTTTTGTTTCTATAAGTAAGCATATGAGTTGAAGGGAGCATCGTGAACCAGAAAGGTTAGTTTATATTTATATTAATTATGTTTCATTATTAACTATTTTATTTTGGACAAATCTTTATGTTTAAAGAAAAATAAATCATAAATAGCATCATATATCTATAAGTTCAACAGTGTGCAAGCAAAAGATCAAATCGTCAATAAATAAGGATTTTCAATTTAATTTATTTTAATACAAAAAAGGTATTAAAGGGAATTCATTTAAACAAATACGTTGTGAAATGTTCATGAAAAAGTGAATGCTATTAATTTGGTGAAACAAGTCTTGTCTCCTAAAAAAACAATTTAAAAAGAGATATGGATAAATTAATCAAAAGTAAAAAAAAACAACAGTAATAAAGTGAAAGACTGACATATTATTTTGAGTAATTCATCGTTCCTTCATTGCGGAAAATATCTTTAGCATGCAACATTAAACAGATGTTTTTCCTTCATCTAATAGTTTTTTTTGTTTATAATTTGCCTCCTTATTATCAAGGGATTTGTTTGCCTTTTTGTATAATCAGCGTATGTAAAAATGGGAAGCCATCGAACAAAAAAAGAGTAAATAACAGTTGGTTAAATATGTTTAAAAGTATATGAGGTTCTTAATTTCTTATAAGCCTAATTTAACGATGAAAATAATTCAGTTTAACCTTGTTTTAAACGTGCTATGAAAATATTCTCTTAATTTGTTAAAGGCTATTTCAGTTGCATTTCTAATATTTTATTTATAATTTCCATTGCATAAACTAACAAGTAATTTTAGAATACAAAAACATAATAATGTCTCAGCAAGTTCTATATAAAGTATGTTAGATAATAAAATATCCTAGCAAAACATCGCTTTAGACATAGACTTTTAAAAGTTAATATATAACTTAGCATTTATTCATTTCAATTTACCACTTTGTCTTAAACTACTTTGTAATTCTTTAGTTGTTAAGCATGAAATGATATAAAGACGTTTGTATTTGATAAATTAAGATAATGTATTTATAATTTATTTTTGTTATGCTACAGATCTACGTTTTATATAGATTTAATTGTATATTACAATTTTATAAATTCTCATAAAGAAAACAATAAAAAAATACTTTAATTTAAAATCATTAATTATTTTATTCCGTGTATTTTATGTTGACAATTGATTAATGTAACCAAAATTTAGATTCACTTTTTTGTAAAATGATGTTTATGTGCCATTAAATAGCGAAACCATACTTGCAAATAAACAATCAAAAACATTTATTTATATGCCTAAACAAAATGTCAAGAGTATAAAATTCATGTCAATCATCAGAAAATATGTTTGTATTTAAATACAATAAAATGCGACTTCCATGAACAGGCTCAATCAAACCGAGCCTGCAACATTTTCAATTTTGCCGTGTTGGGCTTTCTTTAGGGATTCTGTATTTATCTATTTTAAACATTATCAGTGATACAGATAAAATTTGATTTTTACTTGAAAAAAATCTATGTCTACAATTTATTTTCAAACGAAGCTACCTGTATTCTTTTTAAAGAGAAAAATATATGTGTTGTGTCGAGGTTACAGTAGCAAAATGTTAAACGGGACAGATTTCAGACAATACGACCAAAAATGCCCATATTAAGATACAGATTAATGTCAATTCCATCCCAGTTAGATATGAAACAATGAACAAGAAAGAAAGTAAAATGCCCCAGACAAGTTTTAAAAGCTTTCATCAATATGATTTTAATAGTTTTAAAAGCTAACACGTTTTGTTTCAAAATGTCATAAAAAGATACGAGTTACCTATTTTAGAAGCATACATTCTAAAAAAGAAAAAACAACAGTAGTGTAAGAAAATTCAAATAAATACACCGAAATGATTGTCCTATGCTGAAGATTTATACCTGTCCAATTTTCAACGTGCTTTATTTGTAAACATAGTCAAAGGGTAGTTTCAAAAACTAGAATTAACTAGACCCAATATTGGACCCAGAAACGTCCGGTCGATTATTATGCGTTACCAGTTCTGGGGGCATGGGTTGTAGTTTGCATGTTTTCTTTTCGTCAAAGCGCAAGCCTTTTTTGATCGTTGTTCATGTATATGCAGATTCTTTATTCTCTGAGTTATGTAATCAGTATATACACTTGTGCCTAAGGTAGCGATCATCTATTGATATCACTATGGAAGTTAATTGCTTATGATTTGTGACTTAACATCGGTTATATGTACCTAACAACTTGATAATGAAAATATTTAACCATAAGTACTGTAATTGTAAGATCAAAATGAGATATAAAATCTAGCATGTATTTTTATTAGTTTTGTATTTCATTAAAAAATAATATGAGATTATGAAACCTTTAATTATGTAATAATAAAGATCTTGACCTGTTCTTTATTGTGTGTGCTTGGTGTAGAACGAATTTATATGCATTCAAAATGATAAAGATTTTGTTACCATGGCAACATGTTTTATCTTGTTTATTTTAGACACCTAAAAACCAAATTATGAATATCTTACCTTGGACTGGATGTCTGCTGATAGCCGTGTTACTTATTCAACCTAGTTACATATGCTGTGCAGGTTATATTTTTTTAAAACGAAATTGCTACATTTACCACAAACTTTCTTTGCTTTGAGAGCACTTTGCCTTCTTATTATTTTGTTAGCTGGCACTGCATTATTGTTTTCATAATTTTATCTTGACTAAAAATCTTTAAATAAAGTACATTTCTTTATTGCATACCAATTACCTCAATATGATAAGAAACGGTAATTAATGGCTGTTCAATATAAGACTTCCTCATTTTAGCTGTTTACAAAATCAATAGCTTAATTTTTATGCTTTTCCTTAGATAAGACGTTTATTTCATTATGTTCATGTCACTTTGCAAATTTGTTATACCTCACGAAACCCTAAATCCCACGCATGTGCACTCTATTTGGAAATCCAAAGGTTCAAAATCGGAAGTAAAAGATAATGTTTTGTGACTAACTTAAAGTATAATTGTGATTTATGTGTTAAATGAAAATATATAAGATATTGCGAATATTATACAAGCATCTTTAATGGTCACCAGTGTTACAAAAACTGTTTTTCAAAAATGGAAGTACCTTTTTTCTTAAATTATTATGTTTAAGAGACGGAATCATTCTTAACTGACTGTTATTTCATATAAATAACATAATGATATTTCCATGCTTCATGTGTTCTAAACATTGTTTTGCATGATATATATTCCTTAACTTTCTTACTGTGAATAATTCCAGGTCTTGGTTCAACCTGCAAGGTTGCAGCAAATTGTTCAAGTGTAGCAAATGCTATATGTAAATCATCGACATGCCAGTGCGATGCTCTTTTTAAAACCGACAAGCAAACATGCGTTCTGAATGGTAATTTGCGTACTACCTTTCGGTTTCTTAAATATAACAATATGACACAATTAAATTCAAATTAGTAGATTCATTTTGTGGACGAAATAGGACACCGTACTTAACACATGTATGGTTATATCTAGGCTGTCGATCAACCGGACAGGCCTTTCGTTATAAAATAACTTACCAATAATAACCGTTTGCGTCTACTCATCTATCCCACATGATTTAAAAAGTAGCGATGAGAGCCAAATGACCATTGCACTAGATGTCCGGATTCAATTGTCACTGATAAATGTGGGCTCACAAAAGGATCGTATCAGTGACTCCTGGAAAACAACGGGTGGCGCGATAGCTCAGTTGGTTAGACCACTGACTGTCACTCCTGAGGTTCCGGGTTCGATCCTGGGTAACACCCTTGGGATTTTTCAGAAACACTTTCAGTGTTTCCCACCTACCTAGAGGTTTACTGGTACGAAACCCAGGTAATCCTCGCATGTATCAGTGCTATACACTGGGCATGTAAAAGAACCAAGGAATCTATTCAATAAGAGCTAGGGACTGGTTCCCGGATTTCCTTGTATCTCATAGCTGTCTCTAGTGTATGCTGAGGTAAGGACCCTACTGGAAATAAGTGCTTGCACTTTCGTAGGTTATCCTTGACCGCCCGGTCTAAAGAAAATCAATCAATCAATCAAAACTTATGCTTATTGAGCTATACGAGCAGTTAATATTATTATTTGTTTCTGGATGAAACACTCTTCTTATTAAAGATGCATGCATCCAAATGAGCCAAAATATATCAGGAAAAAACTTGAGAAAAATCTATTTCAATAAAAGTAAAAAGATTCAAAATTCAAGTAATAATTTACATATTTTAGCGCTTATTGACTGAATTTTCAATACTTAACACCACATTGCCTCTGCGTGACTAACGCATTACAGGGAATACTTTCATATGTTAACGCTTTTTGTATTTTTTGTTGATTTTAAGTGGCGTATGCAATGTGTTAACAGCTTTCTTAACTCACTTCAGAATGTTTTCCTTTTAAATATTTTTTAAAACTTTTCATCGAAATAAGTACAAACTTGGAGGCATGCTACTTTAAGGTGAAAAATATATATTAAAAAAAGCTGTATTAACGTTTTTCAAATACACACTGCTGGATAAAATTCATTTTGGCAGTAGACGATATTTAGTTGTGCTTGTAATTAATGGTTCACTTAGAAAATGAAAATTAGTTTACTGTAACAGTTATCAAATTATGTATTTTTTTTCACTTCTGACTCATTTTGATGATAACGTGCTCTGCTTGTTGAAATGTTTTTGATTAGAATATGCCCTATTAATTTCCATCAGTAACTAAATTATTGAAAAAACATTTCAGGTATAAATGATACTTGCACTGATAACACAAACTGTTCGAGTGCAAATCATTTAACATGTGATACACTGAAATGTCAATGTGCACACGGATATAAACCAAAGGCTGGGGCATGTATTCCGAAAGGTAAATCAATTTATTTTTCTACACTATCGTCCCAGGATTTTGTTTACATATCAACGATTAATAACAATGCGATAAATAGGTGAGGCGGATGCAGCCTAATAAATACAATACAACGTAAAACGTCATATTTTCATGTGCCTTGATAGCGCACCGAGTCAGTAATTCATGCATTAACATGTTCAAATAATGGTTAAGTACAATTGCATCCTAGTGCTTTTTTTCTTATTTGACAGGTTTTGTTGCGAATAGTTTTAAATGCTGTGAATAGAATATTTTATGTACATGGGTTGACATGCACTTGAGTTTTTAAAATGAAAAAAAAATGGAAATACATATTTAGATTACCAGACAAAAGACAAAGTAAATGAAAAGGAAGACAAAGAATGACAACATCATCATAATAAAATGGCCGAGTGTAAAGTTCAAAACTATGAGTTTAAATCATCTAAAGTTACAGTGACGTTGATTTACCAACCATTGCGATTATACACATTCCAATTACAATAAAGCTCGTATATATAGATGCCCATATATAGTTGTTTACACTTCCAATCTCGGATAATATTCAGACTTACATGGACCTTTACATTTACCGTTAAGACAAATTCATTTGCATCTTTTTGAACCATCTAAATATTGCCACTATGACTAAAAAATAATAAAAAAGAAAATAACAATAAAAATTTCTCTAAAACTTTGCATAATATCAGACTTTATATTCATTTGAAGTAAAACATCTAATCTTATCTTATATATCTTAATATACTTTGTCTTTGTTTACGCCTGTCAATGACTATGTCTTACTCAACTAAATAGAGCATCACCCCAGACACTTCTTAATAAACAATAGCGGTTCTTTATTATGATGTTTAATAGATAAACTTTAGGTGGATATCTTTACATTGATAACTGGTAAAATGATATTCACATCATGGTGTCCGAAATACTTTTTGATGTCGTTACAAACTACTTGTTTTTATTTATACACGTTTATGTTAACACTCGGGCGTCCGTGGCCGAGTGGTTAAGGTCGTTGACTACAAATCACTTGCCTCTCACCGCTGTGGGTTCGAATCCCGACAGGGACTTTGGATTCTTTCATGTGAGGAAGCTATCCAGCTAGCTTACGGAACGTCGGTGGTTCTACTCAGGTGCCCGTTCGTGCCTGAAATAATGCACGGAAGGGCACCTGAGGTCTTTCTCTACCAGTAAAGCTGGAACGTCGCGATATGACCTATACTGTGTCGATGTGACGTAAAACCCAAAAAAACAAACAAATGTTAACACTTTACTTTTTGTAATACATTTACAGGAAAGCGTCTTTAAGTTGTTTACATATTGGCGAACCCACACGTCTATGATACAACTTTAGACAATGATAATTATAGCTGTGATATAACATTGTTTATACAAAAAGCAATATTTATATTACGGTATTGGTAAAAAACATTTTGATGTGTAGATTAAGATAAATGTTCATATTTGTAATTTTATTAAAGGATATTAAGTAGATTAATTTAACGATTTTTAGTACCATATATTTAATGAAGCACATATTTCATCTTGTACTTATACTTATTCATAATTGTATGATGGGAATTGTTTAAATAACGTTTGATTTTGAACAAGATTTCATTTGTGTAACATTTCAGCGGTTAATGATACTTGTAAAGATGCCACAGATTGTTTAAGCAAGAATCATTTAACATGCGCTACAACAAAATGTCAATGTGATACAGGATACAAACCAAACAGCGGGGCTTGTATTGAAAAAGGTAATGTTTTGTCTTGTATCAAACGGGTCATTGTAGTTGTATTTCTATTTAAGATCAATTCAATCCACTTGTTGGTGAAAAATTCATATTTTTTGCTAGGTTGAAATGTTGGGAGCGTAAAGAAGAACACATTTTACCAGAACAATTCTCTGAAACTGAATTATCATGTTCTTGTTTCACTTTAGTATTCTTTGTTATATTTTAATAGAATGAAGCTATACACTCAAGCATTGTAAAATTGACTGCATCTTCAACCATATGGTGTATATAGGCAAAATGGTATTCAAACAATACTTTTTTTATATGACCGGATTTCTTTATGCCCCTCTCTGTTGAATTGTGTCATTTGAATATCGCCATACCTATATTAGGAATATTAAATCAAAACTAAAATCCTTATATATGGGTATATTTGTGGTAAAACTATTTTAATTTATTATTGTTATTCATTCTTTCTACGTTTTAGTGATTGGCAAAAAATGTACAGATGCAACTGTATCAACTGATTGCACACTAGAAAATTCCGTGTGTACTTCATCCCAATGCGCGTGTAAACAAGGCTTCAAGGACAATGCTGACACATGTTTGAAAAGTATTTTGAACAATTATTATAATACCTCGTATTTCAAGATTTTATAAGTAGCTTAACTTACTTGATTAAATCTTGCTATGGCTTATGAAGCAATTGTTACCGATCTGGGTTTTACATTTTCGATTTCAACAGTTTTGACGAGCATAGCTATTACACTAAACTTACGTTAATTGTCACCGTAGGGGAACACAGCGTGAAAGTATTGACTCTTGGTATGTGACGGCATATCATCTTATTGAAGCATATTGGTAAAGCCTGGGTGTAATTATAACACATATCTTTTACAAAAGTTTGTGTCGGAGTGTGTTTATCATACAGTTTTAAACCTGCTGGCTGTTGATGTTGCAAACAAGAATAATAGATGGTATCCAGATTATATCTCAAGATATTAACTAACGACGCCGATATTAACCTTAATAGAAATTAGATAATCACCAGTTTACGTTAATTAATAATGAACAAAATGAAACAGCAACTTAAAGGAGGGGCAAAAAAGGTTTTTGGCAATCAATGTCGATACTACTAACTCTTTTTATAAATATTTACATGTAGTCATCGGAGGTCACTGTACAGGAAGCTCTGCATGTGATGGTGACACTCATTCAGTCTGCAAGAACACTTTATGCGAATGTGCTGAGCACTTTGGTGAAAAAGACAACGTGTGTACTGCAAGTAATTAGAAAATTTTAATTATAAACAATACAAGTAAGCTTTGATGAGTTTAATGTCAAGATGTAGGAATAAAATACGTAATGTGGTTCTATTTATAAAAAAACCGCTTTGATAACACTAATATACGATTTTTTAATATCTTAATTCATATATGTTGCATAATTTATGCTATTATGCAAAGAATTGCATAATTACACAAATCGATACATCAAGTAATTTTAAGTAAAACAATAGGGCAGGAAACATTTGAACTGAAATCAGTTTATGCAGCCTAATATTATGAGGTTTTCAGTAACTTATAACTTGTATATTAACAAAGGTGAACATATTCTAAATGATTTTAGGATAGAATAATAAACATTATGTTGTACATGACTGACTTATTTGCATTTGAGAGCATAACCAATTTTACAATTTATAGTCTCATTATAATAAAACAATTAAACTATGTTTAAGCCTTAGACAGCAAACAATGCACGCCACCAAAAGGTACGGAGTGTGGCGATAATGCTGAATGTGACGAGAAGACAAATACATGTCGATGTAGTTCTGGTTTCAAGATGAACGTTGACACTTGTGTGGCAGAAAATGGAGGTATTTCAACTTGATGTCTATTTCGTGATTCATATAAATATACAAGCTATGTACGGGGCCCTTTAAAATGTTGCCATTCTTACCATTTGAAATAGGTTTGTCTGTCCGCATAAAAAATAATAATCATGAAGATACAAGTATTACATGGCTCCAAAGAAGATATAATGTAAAGATATATATTTACCAAACTAATTTAAAAGTATATTTACGAGTCATAATAAATATGAAGGAACAACTGAATATTTCAAAAACACTGTCCTAGGGTCTATTCTGTGTAAACTAAAGTAAAGTGTACAACAGTTGTGCTACAAATACCAAGTCTAGTTCTAATTGTTTTTGTTTTAATTTGATGCATGTAGTCCATGTTAACTTATTGCATATGTGGTGGCGGGGCGGCAATGGTAAGGGATTAAGGACGTTGACTACAAATCACTTGCCCTTCACCGCTTTTGATTCAAATTCCAACAGGGACTTTTGATTCTGTGAGGAACTTATCTAGTTAGCTTACGAAACGTCGGTAGTTCTACTTAGGTTCCGATTGTGCCTCAAATAATGCACTGAAGGTGTGTCTTTGCTGGAACTTCTCCATATGAGCTATACTGTGTCGGTGTAAAGTAAAACCCAGTCAAGCAAACAAACAAAATTGCATATGGGTTCTTACTATACACTACTGAAATAAGTTCATTTATACTATAAACTGTTTTTAAATGTAGATTTATTGTAAATTTTGTGAATGAGATATAAATGAATAAAACGATTAAGGACAAGACAGTTTGCGCTCTAATTGAGATATCAGGTCTAAGGAATTATCATAAGTTTTGATTATCGTTTATCAGTTTGGTGAAAATCATTTCAACATTTGATTAAAAAGGGAATTTGTGTTACAGAATCTTAATCTTACGTATGACTGTTGTCAAATATCTGTTCAAACAAACTCTATATCATCTGTCTCGCAAATGTGGTGTTTATTCAAGTAGTTTTATAGATAACGAAGATGTAAGATTTGCTAAACTTAATATATGTTAAATAAATATTGAATTGACAAAAAATGATTAGAATGGTATACAATATTCAACTAGTCAACTATTTTATTTATAGTGTCTTAGTTAATATTTCCAATGTGTTATTTCTTTGAAAGGTATGACGACATCCCTGACATTTGCCATACTTGCAATTCCTGGATTGCTCGCCCTGAGGGAGGCATATGGGCAGTTTATGTAAGAGTGTCAAATATTTGCTACTTATTAAAAGGTAAGAAACAATGAATAAATAAATAAATAAATACATAAAATAAACAATAAATAAAATAAAAAAGAGCCGTTCATCTTTGGTAATAGTTTTGCAACATAATATAGTATGTAAATACCATAGAAATCTACGAATGTACACTTTGTTCATTTCAGGTATATGGAGTGTTTGACCCATTTGTAACCGAAGTGACATTTCGAACCTTCATGGATCACATGCGTTGTTTCCGTTTTGTCTCAAATGTGTTTTCTTCTTTGCTTTATCTTGAGAGACAACTTTTATTCATATGTTGCGTAGCACAGACCTTCATTTTGAATCCGAATTTTATAGTGCACTAAATCCTTGTTTATATCTTTTTCTTGATATTATTTTACAACTCTAATGTTTAAATTATCAAACACACAACATACAATTTTAAAGTGAAACATTATACGAATTCGCCAGCATATTTTCTTGTCAAATCTAGGATTTCCTGTGTTGGATGAAGCATTTACAACATCTTTACTTATGAAAATACAAGAGATATGATAAGATTTGACAAAAGTTGTCTGAATGACATGCATATATTACACAGAAATAAAATTTACGAAGTGAATATTTTGATTTTTATCATTTTGTTTAAAAAATGTCTGATTAAATACGGGATGGACGAGTTGGCTGTGTTTATGATCCTTTCTCCAATAAGAAAAATACATTTTGAGTAATGCATGTATGTCAGTCTTACAGAGACAAAGGACAGCATGTTTCCAAAGAATTGTTCATAATAATATCACTTTTATTGTTCTTTATGCAGTTTAGTTTTCTTCAAAAAGAACTTGTTTGAGACTGAATTTTTTTTATTTGCTCATAATTTTTCCAAGCATCTTGTTAATGGAACAGTACACTCCTTGTGGACACTATGTGTGCGTATACGAGTTTAATCTTTAAAGATACACAAACCTACGTAACATCTATATTTTTTTCTTCTTCCTTCTTCCTTATTTCGAATGATTATATTGCCAATAATGGTATGTATATATAAATCGCTATTTTATCAAATATTTTGATGCTTATTGCTTTTCAAGCAATACGTTTTGCATATTACAATAAATGGTTACCAAGTTACATGTTTGTTGCAAGTTGAGAAGAATCCAAGGCAAGAGGAACAACTTATAAACACCTATAGTGTAAGTTCAAGCATAACAGCCAATACATAACTTATATCGGCGGATATGTTGCGTGAAACATAAAGTTTGCATACACCTTAACATATGGGACTAGTGTTGAATAATAATAATAATAATAATAATAATAATAATAATAATAATAATAATAATAATAATAATAATTAAAATAATGTTATATCTATCATGGCTAATTCTATGAAATGGAATGTTTAATAAAATTTTAATTCTACAATTGAACTTAGATTTACATTCTACCATAAGTTTACCCATTAATATGTATCTTAATTGTCATGATTATCTTAAATTCTCGTATGATCAACTGGGTTGTAAAATAAAGAAAATGAGTGTGGTTCCTAGAGGCGAAATTAAAAGTTACCGATTATTTATCCAAGAAATCCGGATGGGTGGATCGACCGGTCGGATATGTCTGCTTTTAGAGAGAAAGGATCATACATAATTTCTTGATTAATTAATTATTTTATTGTGAAAAATTCTTAAGGCTGTCAATAAAACCTTAATCTCTGACATGACGCATTTATTCATAAATTCATTTCAAAATTTTACTTAAGCTCTTGTCACGTTTAATTGTATAAAGACACAAATGACAGAACATTTGGTCTAAATCGTGCGTTTATTGACAAAATATCAAACGAGACGAAATAAAACTATTAAGATTTAATTTCCAAGGTCTGGGCAATACAATGATACTTTACACGATTCCATTCAAATAGACATGAGTTTTAATGCAAGTGTGACCCAAGTAAACATTGACTAAACTATTTCCCAGCAAACACAAGACGTCATACTGACGTCAGATTTAAGTCAGGTTCTGACGTCGGATGACGGTCGGAAAAACGGTTGGATTTGAAAGTTTTTTTGACGTAATAATCTGACGTCAGGTAGACGTCAGAATCTAACCATTATTTAACCTTTTTCTGACCAAAATCGGACCATTATCTAACCATTTTCCGACCTCAATCTGACCATTTTCCGACCTAAATCTAACCAGTTCCTAACCATTTTCCGACCTCAATCTGACCATTTTCCGACCTTAATATTAACCATTTTCTGCCCTAAATCTGATCATTTTCTGACCTTCATCTTATCATTCCCCTAATCCTTTTTGTTTCACCACGTCATAAATAGTTTCTGGCTAATCCTGATTTGATCTAATTTAATGTTACTCATTCTATTAAGTAACTTTCCCTCAAATGAAATGTATAACAGAAAACTAAAAGCAAAAATATGTTTCATGCTTTTTTAATTTAAGATAAAAGTTGCAATTTTAAGCTGATACATACAATTTTAGTAAATCCTGCAAGGTTAAAAATTTTTCATAAATTAAACAAAATAAAACATAAAATAAGTTAATTACAAAACAAAAAGTATTACAAAAACAATGACATAAATGAAACTAAGAAAACATGTACAAATATTAAAGAACAAAACAATGTATGCACATTTCTATCAAAGTTTGCCTTATCAAATAAAACAATGAAAATATTATAATTTTAAGAAAAGTTAAAAGATTCCGACAATAATGTTTCAAGCAATTTATGACAGATTTTCAGTACTTTAACTATATTTCTACAGCATTTCTCAAACATTTAGTGCCATTTTGCATATTTTGACCTCCTTTGATAATTGTCAGTAATGTTATAAATTGCTGCCTTTTAGTACTTCACAAAGTTATACTTTTAGATATCCATGAGAATTAGCACGAATTTTGAGGTGTGATGCTTTAAGATATGACCTTCTTTCAGCACCCTCGTCTGTCCGGAGGATATGTAGCGTTTGTAACGCCAATAGCGTGTGTGACATCATTTTCACTGAAAAAAAAGAAATTTATAAACATGTAAAAATAACAAGCAAAAATGTTTTCATGGTTATCTTAACTTAATGAACAATTTTGCCAACTTTTTATAAGAGAGCTTTAACAAAAATTAAAAAGTAAACATAAATACTGAACATTTAAAAAGCTGCTTTTAAACTCCAGTTTAGTATGGATTAAAGTATGTAATAGAATTTACAAAAATCTTACTTTCATATGTTTCTTTTTACATATTCACGTGTTTCCGTCCCTTCGACCTTTGAGAGTATGTCCAACACTTTTAACTACCTGAAAAGAAAATTATATTCTAACTTATGTATATATTCTACGTTTGAAATAGAACAGTTACGCCAAGTCTTAAATATTTCATAGTTTTAAATTAAAAGATTAATGCCGAAATGTCTGGAACCAAAACGTCTTGCGTTATTTGGGACCGGAACGTTTTGGGTTATTTGGGACCAAAACGTCTTGGGTCCGAAATGCTCGAAATCGTACAAATTCATTCTCAATTCTCAGATTTTAACTGACAAAAACATCACAGAAAAATATGAAAACTAAGCATTCTCTTTGTAGTACTGAAACAGCATATTATAAACTCTTCACAAGCAGAGTTAAAAACATGTCAATTTTAAACAAGATTTATTATTAGACATTATCGCGAATTTGTGTGACATTTTACTTCAGCTGTTCAAATAATGACAATTAAATTTAAGAGTGCTTGCAATCATGCAATTATTTATCAAATACAAAGTAGAAATAAATCTAAATAAATTGAACTGACCTTTTTGTTCAAGAAAATCTGTAATATTCACTTATCAATGCATCCCGATTCCTGACCGACAGCCAAAACGTAACGCCTACGAATTTGAATTTCCATCCACGTGACTTTAGATTCGAATTTAAAGGTTAATTATGTTTCTTTCCCTTTTCTGTCACTTTGATTAAATGTTAAAAGCACTATTTAAAAACTCGTAATTTTGATACATATAATGTACCAAAAAATGATAATATTACAACGTTAAATGATGGAACTTGTAAACAGATCTGTGGCTATTAATAGATTGCTATAACAATATCTGTACATGTAACTTGCGTATATACAGCGGCCACCTATATGTTTTATTAGGTTGCAGCGCCGCGATCTTGGTCTGTACATTTAGATATAAGAACACTTCATTTGTAACCAAATAACATTTGAAAAAAAGTTAAATGATTACAATCAGCGAACATAAGGATTATTTTTGTTATTTTTTTACCTACCATCAGGACATCCGCCTAACCTGATCTTAGATACGACGTCAAAAAGAAACGTCTATATAGATCATCGGTATTTTAAACGTTCAGATTTACGTCGTATTTTGGTCGCCGACGTCGTTACCAAAAATCTACATTATATCCGACGTTATATTTTAACGTCATGTGTTTGCTGGGTTATAATTTATATCAATAATCTTTACTTTAGTATAGTTTCAAGTATCATCGAATCTAATTAATATTTCATATTTTATATTGTGCATTTTACACCTAAATCGATATATCATTTTTGTTTCCATTTCTAACAAAGTGTTCAAAACAAACTAGATGTCGACAATAAACAAAGTGTTAATGGTTAGTTCATCAGAATAAATTTAAGGACATTAAAATAACAAGTACCAAATGTTAAGAATTTACTTACATTTTATAAGAATAAAGAACACATTCCTAAAAAAAACAAAACATTTTCACTATGTCAAAGAATCAGACATATTTTAGTGAAGCGCGTGGTCGAAAAGACGCTTCATTTCCGCTCTCTCACTTGGGTCTTTCTCAAAATTGCAATCCATAATTGAAGCAAACTTTCCTGCAAGTTCACGAGAGTTTTCGTCTCTATATTTCAACTTAAAATAAGAACTTAATAAAGTTTTTTTCAAATGTTCAAATCCTAGTTCACCCAGACATTTCAGAATTCTTGTTATTCTGTTATGATTGTGTCTTCATCTGAAAATAAAAATAAATCAATTATTATCATCATCAAAAAATTTGCATGCAAAATATTTACGCGGTGCCCCTTACGATTATTTTTTTGGCGCGAATGTGTGTAATGAAAAATCGCCCTGCTTTGAAATAGAAACAAACTTTATGGAAGGTATAATTATTCAATGTAAATTAAATTGTAATTTTTGGGAAAAGAAAAAATTTTATTCGAATACAAGGGGTGGCTATTACGCGGGGTTTTGTAATATTATAAATTTATTCACAATAACAACTTTCACGTTGATTATTTACTTAGAACGTTCCCCTTTTGTTTCCAAAAAATTTTTTTACTCATTAAAATTATTTCTACTGTTTTTTTTCAAATTTGAAGTAGTAATGAAAATTTTTGTGTTTTTAAGACCAATCAATTTTAAATAAAAAAAAAGGGGTCCACTTGTTAGCAAGTCAAATTGTTCTAGTTTTTATGGGCTTCTGAAAAAATTAAACTAAATGTAATTTAATATGACAGTGTCTGTTTGTCGCTGCATTTGAAAATTTATTGGTAATATATTAAAAAATTATTTTTGAAATCAAAATAAAGCACCTGTTTAAATTTAATTCTGCAAATCTTTTTCCCAGTTATTT